CATATGTTTCACTCACACCGTCACCGAATTGTTTTCTAGCTGTAAAAAATGCACTAGTTCTTTGCTAGGTTAAAAAATCTTATGACCACAATAGTAAAAGGCTGTGTGTCTGAACCCGTTTGACATTTTCAAAATCAAACAATGTAGCGAGAACTGACATTGTAAAATCTTGGCACTCAARTCGACTTCCRGGTCCAAAATTGGGAAGTTTCTTAAAATAACTTTCTTTAACTTTATGCCTGGGGTGCTTACCATTTACACCAATCCATCTGGTTGGAAATTCATTCCCTAGTGGTAAGAAAAGAGCGGGARAATTTGACTTTCGAAAAATGGTAAACTTGTCTACCGAAAGAACAGAAAAGAGCGGGAAAAGTCAATCTTAAGACCGAATTTTCCGGAATTTTCCGATCGGAATGATACAAACTGATTTGTYTTCAACCAGAATTCCCGGTTTTTCTGGGTAAATGGTAAGCACTCTGTTTTCAGTGATTTTCATTCTAGTTTGGACCCGGAAGTACGTCACAACTTTCTCCCTCGGGTCGTCCCTCGGGTCTTCCCTTTGGAAACGTTTGAATAATTAACTCTTATTATTCAGTCTAGCAAATGATTAATTAAGTATTAAGTCTTTGAAAACAAATATCAATAATCATTCGCTTCCCTAGAAATAAAAGGAGATAAAAATGGCCATGTTTTATGATACCAATGAAAAACTACTGTCTGAAAACTTCCTTAAACTATTAAGACTGACTTTCTTGAGTTTTAAGAGTGGATTCTACTTCAACAGAATATTAGTGTTATTACTGACTGACTAACGTTAATAAACTAGTAATAAACGTATTATACTTACACTCTCTCTGGCCACAACAGGACGCTAGCCAGAATTTTTATTTCGAAGTATGAAGTTAACGTCTTTCAAGAATATTTGCCAGCAACTTCGACGACATTCATCTTGAAACTTCAACTCTTTCGTTGGACAATTTTCATCGACAATTTAGTGCAAAAAACCCTCAAAACCCCTTCATTTCCTTCGCCTTTCGAGTTATTCTCCATTGGTAGAGAGTAAGAACCTGATAGTATGGTAAAGTCTGTTGTTTCTAACGATATTTTTGCATCATGCAGAAAGCTTCACATTTGACGAACATCAAATGAAGTTTATTACCATATATGGACTTGTGATGTAGGCAAATATTACGCATGCGTAAAGGTATCTATGAACTTTTATGTTTGCAAGGGTGTGACTTTTTTTCTGATTAGGCGAAGGGAATAAAAGAAAAGTTAACAAAACACTTTAGATAAACTACCTTCAAAATATACCTAACTACATGTTCATGTTATCTAGTTTCGGCTTTCATCTTTTTCGCCGTTTTCCTGTTCATTTTGGCAGCTTGCTGGCTCGACTTTTTTATCACGCCGGCAATTTCGGTAAATAATTATCAAGAGGAGTAATGTGATGACAGAGAATACACCAGCAGTGACAAGGACGGATATCAGGATGGTGTTGACGTGGAAGGAAGCTGTCAAGAAAGATAGAAATAAAATACTGAAATGAATTTTGTTACCAGGCCTTAGATTAAAAAGCCCTCCTATAAAGCCAAGCTATTTTAGCTATAAATCATGGGAGGCCCGATTTACCTTTTTTGTTAAGTCATTTTAAGTCTTTACCCCAGTCATCCTAAATTTGTGAATATACCCCTAATACACCGACATCACCCTCTCTCTTGTACTACCGGATAGACCTTGGAGGACCTGTGCGGGAATGGACACTTTACACGTTGAATCTGAAGCTCGATCATGTGGTAAATTTGTAATCCTGTTCTTATTTTGTAACGTACCTTTTGTAGCTGTCAAGCTATGGGCTATTAATTGACATGAATAGAGATTAGTTTTACTTACTTTTCCCTCCCTTGTTGACATTGTTTGACTCGGCCATCACCGCCTTCAAAGGGCCTACAGACAAATTATACGGCATAGAGCTTTCCAGATCACTGGAATCACGACGGCTTCTAGGTTTGGTACAACCAACAGCACATCTGGATCTGGAGTTGGTAGAGTTTTGATGACACACAAGCAGTTCACAGTGGAGATAAACCAGATGGGAATTAGAGTAGGCAAATCGAAACGATCTGATGGAAAATCGTTGGACTTTACTGTAGGGGTTGTGGAAGTACACCATGGTCGAATCAACAATGCACCTGGAAATCCAAGTATATTGGTCTATTAATTGCACACACATACAAGGAAATTCCGTCTATATCGAAATCCCCTGCAGTCCTTATGATGAACCCTGGGAGTAATCCCATGTTGGTGATTCTAGTTTCAAGTTCCCAGTGACTGTAATCAGTGGGAGTGAGGCGGGGAAAAACAGGATTGAGTGGACGGTAAAAATGTGACCCCAAACCCGGCCCCAGTGATGAATGCCGGCCCCTTGGAGCTATTTCATTGGTAATTATACTTCCCATTTACAGTGACCATTGTCAATACCCTTTTCGAGCAGTAACAGAGAAATGTCAATTTTGGATTTCTTACCCTCTCTCTAGAAACACGTGTTGTGGAAATGAGTCTGGATTGGTTGAATTGTTAGCACAACAATTCTCAGCAAAAACGACCAGATCAAAAGTGGTGCTCTTGACTTCATACTGAACCCACAGAGACTGGTTTGGGTAGACAACCACTGGGTAAGCAGAAGGTGAGTAAGGTGTTGAGTAGTTGGAAGTCTGGTAGAGATCCATGATGAATGTGATGTTGCCATAAAATCCTAGGAAAATATAACTACAACAGATAAACAAAAGGAAATCGTTGCACCTCGGACAGCTATGACGTATTTCCTCTCTCGGATTGTTAGTCAACTGAATTGCAAGTTTTCAATAGAATTTAGTCTTTCTGGTTGACAGCAACATGGTGGTCAGTGTTTGATCATCGTTTGGAGCAGATAATGAAACTCAAATACTTTTATCAGCTGATTGAAACTAATTGAAACTCAGCAATACCGACAGTTTACCTCGTGAAAACAGAATATATGGTCTACATGGTGCTCAGTAACTCACTTGTCTCACATTGTTTTCCAGTGAATCCATGGTAACAGTTACAGTAATAATGGTATTGATCTCCATGGCAACTTCCTTCGTTACGACAGGGATGGCTGTTACATTGAGTCAAGCCTTAAAAAAATATTTCTCAGTAAAAAGAGAGGTGCCATAAATCTATGACACTTGCTATTTCAAGTTTAGTAGTAAACGGCATATGTGACGTTTTCTCGCTTGCTTTGTTGCTAGCTAAGGAAACTTAACTTGTGTGTAGCCAGACTGTTCTCTCGTATAGTCCGTCGGACTTAACAGTCAGCTAGGTCGGCTGCACGCAGGCTAAGGAAACTCAATAGAGGGTTTTTCACTTTATCTCATGACTTATAACGAGACAAAGGATTATGGGTCATCCCTCATACATTAATCAAGATAATCGTTTGAATGTCTACACCTACTACCCCCAACTTGGGTAGGGGTGTGCCGCCAGGACCTCAAAACCCTGACTCTATCCCAGACCTAAAATTTTGATTTTACCAACCCTACGCCATACTAAAACTAACGTTGAAGACCCTATCCCAGACTAAACCCGGTTAGTCAATAGATCGCAATAAATATTTACTAACGTTTTTATTGTTTTTGTGCCGTCAGAAAGCGTAGTCTATTCGCCAGACAAAAACGACCAAATCGTAACCCTATCCCAGACAAAAATGAAACCCTATCCCAGACAAAATGTCAAAAAATGATACCCTACCC